ATTCATGGTAGGTGACACACTTCACACGTTCCCCTCCCTGGCTGTAAAAGAGAACATGTCTGCTGAAGATGTTAAGATGCTTCCATCCGAGAACGGTTTGTGTCGACACAGTTATCTGTAGAACATTATTTTGTCTGAGTGTAGTGTGTCTAATGTTACAAAAGAGGCAAAAAAAAAGTGATTAGTATTGTGTGATAAACAACACATTCGTGGATCTTAAGTTAGAATTTAATGGAAGTGTTGGGTAAAGGTGCGAGTGTTGTCAGGATCTATTTATTTAGAAAATAGAAGTGAGAAATATCACTTGCAGGCCATATGAAAACAGAAGAAATGAGGCAAATTAAAGTCATTTACCGCGGGGTTAGTTTGCATTAGTATAATTTGAGTCAAATACAGTAATAACATGGGACAGTTTTTCAAATGAAAGCTGGCAATATGCTCAAATTTTTCTACGCAATATTTATTTATACAAATATTTTATTTGTAATAATCTTACGATCTGGCAGGTCCGATGTGTTAAATGTCTTAAATACATGTACTGAATCCAAGGGAATGATCTCATTTCAGACAGAAAACACATAGACATCAAAAGACAGGCTTCAAAGTCAGTAACATAATGAAATGCCCACACACTTCTCTGTAGTGCAACTTTAGCTCATCACCTTTGCTGTGTTTGACCTAGAAACAAGAAGAGCTTTGAGAACGACATTCTTTAAAGCTGCAGTCAGCATTACAGCTGCTCTCTGATATATCAACTTTTAAACAACTCTGCTTTCGTCATGCAGATAAAACCTCAATTCAAACATAATAGCTATCAATCCTAGTCTGTATGTTTGTTATAAGTCATTTTCATCTTCACAACATCAAAAGACCTCGGGAAGAGTGAAAGCTGGCTGTCACCAAGTGTTACTTCTGTAGGAGTATTTGAATCATGTCATCTGAGTGTGGGCCTTTGCACCACCCCACTGTATGCCGCTCTGCCCCACAACAACAACTCTGCATTATTTAAATGGTCTCCTGTGAATGTCAGGGCGAACCTCAGGACATCAAATAAAAAGAAGGACACTGATTGCAATTAGTTTCATTGTCTCCCATTTATATGGTTATTGGGTGGTGCCTCTCGTCGCGTCAAAGTTCTCACAGTCAGGATGCCATCTCTCTCACTGCAGCCACCTTAGCTTCTTCTGGCAAGTATCTGCTAACAAGGTTCATCTCACTTGGGTGACAAAGCTACTAGGTGGGTCTGGTCTGAAGGGAAGGGCCCATTTCCTTCAGCCAAAAGAAAGCGTTGCTGCAGGGCCCAGAGTTTCTGTCCATCCTGTGATCTGTTTCATGTTTTGTACTTGTTTTCTCCCATTCAGATGGTGTGAAAAGTGTCAAAGGTCGAGGTGTGGAATGAGCTTCTGACAGCCTCCCAGTCACTAAACCAAACCTGAACCTGGCTGGCTCCCAGGGCTTTATACACCACAGAGTCTTCAACAAGTCTTTATTCATTTCCCATCATGAGGCAGGATTTAAATGCCATTGCATTTTTTTTATGAATGTCTGGAAAAACAAGTATTCCAAAGTAATGAGTTTCAGTCATTGGACAAACTGTGAAAGAAGGCTTAAAATATAGAATGATGTGGGGGTGGGCAGACTAATGAATCCACATGAATGAAAACGGAAGGGCATCACTTTTTGTGGTGCTTCCACTCTGGAGGGGGTGTGTATCAATCTTTCTTTGAGATAATGGGGTTAGATAGCAGTGAGACCTGGCCTCTGGTGGTGACATTGTTGCACGGCTCAAAGACTATCAGGGGTCCAGCGGCTGAGCTGGAGCACCGGTGGGCTCTATTCACATCCAACCCCTAATCTATCTTGAGATCAGGTCTTTCTCTTCTACAAAGCTCCATCTATTTCTTAACTCTCATCGCATTTTTCTTCTCTGGTATTATTGTTTCTCCAAAAAGCACAGTTGGCTTCTGCAGTCTCTCAGGAATCACATTATAAGCCCAGCTTTATTTTATTCTTCTTTCGTCAAATGTGGATCCACAGCCCATGTTTGGGCATTATGGCCTAAATCTATTAGTCTTCACGACTGACAACTTGTCCATATTCTGAGTGCGTGACTGTGATTAGATTTCACATTCATTCAGGCATCAGCATTATCCGTGGCCGTCTGCAGACACAGTCTTGCAGGCGATTATGGTATTACACATGGGAACTTCGTGGCTGTGTCTTCTGTGCTCGCTATAGGCTTACCTACATACATGCCATGAAAAGGGTTCAAAGCTTGTTGACCTGTCAGTATAGTGGTCTAATTGCTTCTGTTTATCTTGCCAAACATATTTTATTTTGATGAGATTTTTGTTTTGTTTTAAGGATTGCCAACTGTTTGAGTCAGCTGAATCTGAAACGGGGCGGCTGTGGCTCAGTGGATAGAGTGCTGGACTTCAAATCAGGGGGTAGCAAGTTCGATTCCCAATGCAGTCAGCATGTTGTTGTGTCCCTGGGCAAGACACTTCACCCCAAATTGTTCCTGTGGGGATTGTCCACAGTACTGAATGTATGTAAGTCGCTTTGGATAAAAAATAAAAAAGACATGTAATGAATCTGGATTCACCACGTATCCCTAAAATTAGCATACTTTGAATCAGTAAAATGTAAAATACAGTATTCTGTTGTCTGAACTATCTTAATCTCTCACAATTGAGATCTGCAATGCATTTATGAACTTGTTGAGTGCATAAAAAGTCAAAAGACATTGCATGACCATTGCATGACCTGGACACTGTTGCCATTATTATGTACCACTAATTCAGTGAGGGTACTCCTAAACAATTCATTTTAGAAGTTTCAAACACAGACTTCAACCTTTTACCATTGCTTTGCACCCTTCAGAAGTTGAGTTTGTAACCTTTGTTTGTAATCCTAAAAGCAGCGAACACTGTGTCATTGCGCTTGTTTTAATTGTCAAAGGCATCTAGAGACTGAATAATGTTACCTACTTATTTAACGTTGCCCGGTTGTCTTAAGGTTCATGTTATGTGTATGATACTGGCCCCAGCGTTCAGGAGCCTTCTTTCAGGTCCCAGAGTTCAGTGATCCATCAGTGGCTGTGTTTATTTTTTGGCACTCATCATTCGCTGAAATCCACATCATAATGTATCACACGTGCACTTCATTCATAGATAATAGAACAAGTTTGGTTGTTTATGTTGCTTTATTTTGGTGTTACAGAGTTAACTTTAGAAATCTACTACAGGCAGTAAGACAAACGAGGCCTGTGTGCAGTCAGTGAAAAAACAGAGATGAGGTAAAAAGGCTACAGCGTTACAAGTCACAACACTGTTTAAAAAAAATGTATTTTGCAAATATATACTTTTACTTACTAATATGTACATAGCATAAAATAAATAATTATAAAAAAACATCAAATTTTAGAAATCCATAAAAACACAAAAAACTAGTTTGTACAAAACTTTGGATTTTAAGAAAAAATAAGCAAATTGTCCACACAAGCAATCAATCACAAATTAAGTTTACAGTAATAGAACCACTATAACAGGTCTTGTACTAATAATGGCTGCTGTGTACTTTATTAAGATGACTTAAAATGTGAAACTGATTATGGCTGCTCATGTATATTTTCAGTCAAGATGAAGAGTCATGGTGGGCAATGAAAATATACATGCCTGAGACGTAGCATTACATTGGCTGTAAACAATAACTTATCAGTAACTTTACACATTTATAGTTGAAGTTATCAGTGAAATGGCAGGCGGCGCTTTCATAAACATTCTGTTACTTGTCTCATCTTTCAGTAGTTTTTCACTTTCCAAATAAATAAATACTTTGTTGTATTTCTTTTCAAATGAAGGGAGGGCAACATAAATCATCTTTGCTCTGATGTTTAGCATGACTACAAAACCATATGCAACTAAAATAACATAAACTCTATTTTGGTCTATTTGGTTAAAATGGGAATTACTGTATGTAACAATTAGTCAGAACTTCACATTTTTTTCTCCAAACTACATATGATAGGTTTCTTTCACAGAAAGAATCAAATACATGCAAGAATACACAATGAACACAAAAAGACAATAACATACTGTATGTAAGGACATCAACACACACACATACACAATCACATACACACAACATATTATCATTATTTAGCAGCATTAAAATAAGGGAAGAATTGATCGTTTCAGTGATGCTGCTTGTTGTTTAAGTTGGAGAACCATAAGCCAATGCTGAGAATCATCTCATGCACAAGTTTTGGTGAGGATTTTTACCACGACTGCAAACTAAACTGCATTATACAGAGCTCTTATGATATAGCCTATTTTGTTCTTTCTTTGCCATTTGTGTTGTTTATGCTGGGGAGTTCAGAATGGATCTCTATTCCATCAAATACCAAATAAAAGAATGTTATATATGTGTAAATAAAACAAAAATATAGTGGGAGTATCCCTTTTATAAATAACAGCTTTCCCCACATCCAGTCCCATGAGACATTGCTAATACTGATAAAAACAAGGAGAACATGCTTCATATTTTTCAACAAGTGCTGACCTTTCAGATTTATTTACAGCCGTCTGACTACCGCAGACGCACAGGGTTTCACTTTCTTGTCTTTGGTCACAACTGTTGGTGTTTTTCAAAGCATTGTTACTCTTAAAAGGTGGGGTAGATAATTTTGGAGAAACCAGCTCGAGTGCGCTAGAATTTGAAAATACACAGCCGGAAAAAATCTGCCACTTCCTTACAGAGCCCCTCCTCCAACACACACGAACGCGCACATGACCAATGAGGGCACGAGATAAGTTTGTGCACAGATGGAAGGCTGACAGGCAGGTAGGCCATCCAGTTACTTTAGCCGGGCCGGCTCAAATGATTGGTCGTGCTTTTTACAGTACTACGGCTTCCAGAGATGACATGTTTTTATGGATTTTTTGTCAAAGCACTTCAGATATTCATTGCTATCGGGATGTTAAGAGCATTCCATGGAATATAACAAAAAGTGTATCTCAAGCCGGTTTCTCAAACTTACCTATCCCACCTTTAAGAAAAAGCTTCCAGTGTTTTTAGGTGTTTCCGGAAATGTGTATATTCTTGTTTTGAAATTGTTCAGTTGATACGGCTCATATTGTCATTGAAAGCAAATATTAACTGGTTAGCTTAACTAATTTGAGCACATGTAAACACATTGCAGCATAATAACTACATTCACTCAGGTGCAAGTGCATTCTTACCCAAACATCAGTAACATATTAACACTATTAAAAAAAACTCACTCACACAACGACAATGTTAGTTTTCAGATATACACATACATATACAGTTGAGGAGGAGAATGCATGCTATTGAGTGTCATGTAAGTTGGCAACATGTTGGAAAAAAACAACTTATGAATAAACATAAGAACATGTGACACTTTCATTGTTTGCCCCATTGACTTGAAAGTATTGGCAGTGCTGTACTATTCTTAACAAATTAACTACTTGGAATACAGGAAAGAAAAAAAAATCACCAATATGGTGTTTGTCAATCAGCCCACAGTTCTCCTTTCCTACATCAGTACATCAGAAGTCTTTCGTCATCGCTAGAGATATCAACATTGTTGTCATCATCGCCATCATATCAGTTCACATGAATGGCGCTTTATGATGTCAACATCTAATCAACACTTTCAGTTGATCAAGGCAGGGACTGGCTCTTTTCAGCACAAAGCACAAGGCCGCCTGCCACTGGAGTACATGCACAGGTCGCACAGCTTTACAGTCTCTTATGTCTTGTAGATAAGTTGCTGTATTTGTGAATCGGCCAACTGAAGTCTTTCAATTTTGGTGAGAAAAGACAGGAATCATATGTCCTTATTTGCAGGTGTGCACGTCGTAGACTCTCACACACTCCTGACAGCTGACGTAGCAGCACCAGTGGAAAATACAGTGACACTTCTCCTTTCTCTTTTCAGTCCTTGTGTTATGACCTCTGCCGCAGCACAGCAGGTCACACCCATCTATGCCATGGGACGTCAGGTTGCAGATGCGATCACGGGTGCCGAAGGAGCCGGTCTCAGGATTGGGGTCACAGAAATTGGGTGAGATTTCATAGTAAACCAGGTCGCGCTCTGTTGGGGGTTTGAAGTAGTTGTATTTTGGTCTCAGGGTCTCGACCCATCCACGGGACTCCTTATGTTTCTCCACCACCATCTCTGATGCGCTGTCATACTTATCCTTCATGTAGTCGCCAATAACTCTGAAGTCAGGCTGAGACCACCAGCACGTCTTGACCTCGCAGCTTCCTGACAGCCCATGGCACTTACACTTGAGAAACATGTTGTCGTTGAGGGACTAAGGATAAAAAAAATTAGGTGTCAGTGAAATATCTGAAAGAAGAAGAAAATCAGTCAGCAAAAAGAGCATTTTAGGAAACTCACCATTCTCCCTGCCTCATTGTTATGGCGGTTCATGGCTGAGCGTGCATCAGGGCGATTCTCCCTCGCATCAGCAAACTCCCTGGACACCATGCTCCCAAAGTCCACATCCTCGCTGCATCCACCCCACTTCCATCCCTCACCAGGGGGGCCCTTGTGGCGTGTGTCACATCCGCAGATTGTGGCTGAACCATCAGCGCAGGCACGGGTCACTGCAAATGCCACTCCCGCCGAGGCAATGGCATGAACAAATGCTGACTCTCGAGTAGCTGAAAAGAGAAGTTTGAGTATCTGTAAGTGAAAAGTTAACATCTTGCAAACGGATGTCACATACTGTAACTTGTCAATGATTGTTTTTAGGATTTAATTCAATTCAACTATCAATTTATAGAGAAGTTGTCCTGTAATTGCTAGAGAATGGTCACAACATGTTGATTTCTGCTTGTGTTTGGTCTTGTGTGATTCCATGAGAAAAATGTTTCAACGCAGGCCAACAAGACAATTCAAACAAACTAGACATGCTGCGATTTCCATTAATATCGTTGCCTTTAGGTAGTATCTACCGAGATAAGATATCTAACCGAGTTTGTGGTCAGTCAGCCCAGACATCAATCACCCTCTGAATAAGGCTAGCATGGCCTCTATGCTTCAGTTTGAAATAGCTAACTGATGACTCAGAGGGATCAGGATCTTCCAGAGAGTTGAGAGGAAGAGTCGGGGCTGACAGGCCTATAATTAAGAGACTCAATTAAGCTTTTGAGAGGTTAGGAAGCTGCCTCACACTGTGGGGACAAATCAGAGACACACACATGGAGATGGCAATGTAGTGTCCATATATGCGATATCAAACAACATTTCCTCGAGCAAGGAGACATTGTTCGCTCCCAGCTTTAACATTATTCATTATGACAAGGATTTTGCCCTGGATATGTGTACGTGTATGGTCTTGCACTATCTCAAGAAAAAATACCTAGAAACATGATAAAGAATATAGTAACACCAGGTGTATATACGAAATGTACAATCAGAAATTAAAGAAATGTAGAGAAAGGTGTAAGGATCAATAGTGAAATCTGGGGTTGTGTATCTGCATATGTGATTGTGTGTGTGACAAATACATAAATAAGCAGTACATGGTTCTGTCTAAAGAACAAAAACGACAGAGGGAAAGAACGAAAAGGAGTATAAAGCTAAATGTAGTAGGAGCTCCTCCCTTACAGCAGGTTCCAACCAGTTTGAGGACTAAAGGGCATTAGGAACAATGATGCAAGAGAAAGGTCTACTGGCATCCTCCACCACCCACTTCATACTGCTATTGTAAACCCACAAGGTAACTTATGTTCACAATACATTCAAACCTCTGCTCTCATTCCTGGCATCCCACTTACTCCATCCACCACAGATCATTTCACTTGAATATTGAATTATTTTCTATTGCAATCAAGGGGGGCTCTGGGCTGAAATATTTCGACAGTGATTCATAAGACATGAATCACAAAACAAACAAAGTATGACTTGTTAATTTTGGGGCTTCAAGTTAGTGGTGTCTGAGGTTATTACATTCATTTTAAATGTCAAGGATAGGAAAAAGCCTCTTCCAAGCATACAGAACTACATCAGTTTAATATCTGTTACACAACAATGTATCATCATCATAGAAATATAAATACATTTTCTGGAGTCACAAAATGTCAGTATTGATGAAAGGTGTGAAGAAATGTGGACCCAAAATGGTACCTTGGGAAACTCCTTTGGATATGTAACCTTATGGATGACCGGCAATAATTCTGTGGAGCATAAGGGGGTCGAGGAGTTCAATTGGGAGAGGAAAAGAGGATTATCTTGGGATAAATTGAGCAAAGGAGAATAATGGGGGCAAATTTAATATGTCCTAGTGTCCCTGTAGGTCTTTAAGGTCGTAGACTTTCTTTTGACCCTCCCAAACCCTTCAATAAGTCCTTGATTTCCATAAAAAAAGACTGGTGATGATGTAACATGTCTAATCCCCTCAAACTTCATCGAAGTATATTTCTCTGCCAAGCTATGATGATACTGTCCATGCAAACCTATATTTTGAAGTTGCTGAAATCTATTGTTTATAATATAACATAGTACTAAAATATTTGTGCTAATAGATAACAAAGATGTAATGGTTTATAAAAAAGGGTATTACTCCACACACCTCAAAACCAAAGTGTGAACCTTGTTCCATTTAGTTTTTTGTTGGAAAAAGTCAACAAAAGTTTAAGAAACAATTACATTTTTCATACAGTATGTTTTTGTCAATCTACTACTTCTGTATGAAGTGTGGTGTTTCACATAACCTTTACAGCGGTTATCAACACCTGTAACAGCACTTACTTGACCTGGAAACACCAGCTCTTACGGTACATTAGTTTCCCGTCTTTACTTGATTTTACGACCAATTTATGGCATTTCAGGACACTCTTACTCCAACAATGCTCCTCCACCAAACTTTGCCAGACCCTGGCAGGCCAAGTGGTCCCTACGACCTGCTGGGGGGTTGAATCCCCTATTGTGCTGCCACTGTCACGCTGTGTTAGTCCCACAATGGCCCCAGATATTTTATATGAAATTTGCCCTGGCCGGTGATTAGTGGGGACCAAGTTAAGTCATAGCAACAGAGAACTATGCATTGGCTGGACCCCGCTTGTCGGCAGACGGGGAAATCCCTATTCAAATGGTTTAATAAAACAATCTAAAGGGCGTGTGAATGGGGAAAAGCACTTTTTCTCCTGCTTAATCTCATGGTTGCGAAGATATTGTGCTCAGAGCAGTGCCCAGCAGGGAGTGGGGCTAAGGTCCCCCCATCAACTCCATTTACCACACCCCTTCTTTCTTTCTTGCCCAGAGTTAATGATATACTGGTGTGCTAGTTTCCCTCCCCCAGAATGGAGAGACATACGTCTCATGAGAAGCATCGACCTCTTAGCTCATCCTAAATAGTTACACTTTCTCATCCTCAGGTCATAGGTCACAGCCCACATCCCCTGACCTTTTCCTAGTTAGTTTAGTGGGGACTTAATAATTTAGGGTAATTTATCAGGTGAATTTCCTGGTGACTGCAGACAAGGCAGAGGTGACTAAGGAATTAGGTTCAGTCAGAGCTCCAAAAGTATGAAACCTAGCAATCCATTCCACATGCTTTGTATATTATGTAATAGGAGCTTCCTGTAAACCTCATTTACATTTAATGGTTTCAAGTAGCATAGTGATGCTGCATCTCTATACCTGTGTGGGTGGTAACACCTGTAAAATAGTGGCTGTACACTTTTTGTAGCAAAGTTGCCTTCACTAATTCTATGACTCATAAACTGGAGCATGATTATACCCATATAGTAGGTAGGTGTTCTGTAAAGAATGCAGAAACAGCTCTGGGATCGGCTCCACGGACTAAGAACACCTGCACAGCTTTCTATTACCTTTCATCACAGGCAGATTCCAGCAGTGCGTGTTTTGACATTTTAGTTAATGTAAATTAATGAGTGCTGACACAGACATAGCCTGGAGCTAGGGCTCGTGATTCGGGGTGTGGAGTGAGAGAGAAACATAGAGAGAGGATCAGGCTATGTGGAAGGGAGAGAGAACATCCACATAGGAGAAGTATGGGTCCATTTTCAAGGCAGGAAAAACGTAACTCTTTTATGTTTTGATGCATGAATTTTGGTAAGAGTGTGCGTGACAGTGTGCTTTTAGATCGATGAGTGTTTGTGTGTTTTCAAGCCAATGTCTGATTACATTTGGTTGTGTAAGTGATCCAAGCAGACACTAACACATTTTTCAATTCTATTATTTGAAACTAGTCTCAACTCAATTTACCGAATGGCCTTCCGTAATAGTCCATGTTTTTATTCTTTAAGTACTTATCCATTGCCTAATCCACCTCCGTCAAACAAACTTCTCATGTCCTCTGTGAAGATGAAGAGGGCATGGGCAGTGATGGGCTAACTGATAGGAACTAAGCCCCTGAAGCCAATAAAGGCGCCTACTCCTCCTTTCAGCTTTGGACCCTAAAAAGGCAGGAGGAAACCGACACACAACAGTCTGAATCGCAGACAAACAGACACCAGTGAGGACAATGGCCCTGTTGCACAGACAAACACCAGCATCAATCAAATCCAATGAAATGGAAGCCCTCTCCTACTATGCCCTATCAAAGGCCTGTGAGCCCCTGAGTCACTCTCATTGGCCTCTGACAAAGGCACTTAATCCAGCCACTTTGACCTCTCACATTATTAAGGGCCTCAGTGACCTTAATCCAATCAAAATGATTTACTAAAGCCCAGTAGCTGCCTCCTCTTTCCGCTCAGTACCCCTGCAATTTAGGCCTTGGAGGGGCGGCAACGGGAGCGATGTGGTGGCATTTTGCACCACAATAGGGCTTGGATTGAGAACCCCTATCGTTAGCAACCTACTTGAGCTCAAGCCTCTTCTATCAACTGGCTCAGGAGTTTATTAAAAGCAATTGCCCTAAGTAACCTCCAACCCCCTGCGTTTGCATCAATCTTCTGTAAACTAGGTGACAGGTTAAGATCTTCGACCCACAACCCTTATGTTTGACGCTCATTCTCAATGTTGGAGCCTGTAGCTCATTTTAGACTTAGGCAGAGGAGACAAAAAACAAAAAGGAAAGACAAAAACCTAAATACCTTAGTAACAAATGTGTCTGCTGTACTCACATGAGGAATTAAATGAATACTTTTTGGAAATGCCCTCATTTACTTTCTTACAGAGAGTTGACGACAAGATTGATACACTCACTTGTGTCTGTTAAATACGAAGCTAAAGACAGCAGACATTTAGCTTAGCACAAAGACTGGAAACCGCTAGGCAGGCTCTGTCAAAAGGTAACATAATATGCCTCCCAGCACAGTGGGGATTTCTGCTGCCTGAGCCCATAAGTAGACCAGACTTGACATACACTTAAAAGTCCTAATACATAATCACAGAATCTAATGGGAACAATTTATTTTGAAAAACTCCGGTTCACAGTCTTGTGTAAGTCACTTCAAAGGATTGTGCAGCAGAACAATCACAGGGGGTTCCCTCCTAAAGAAAACTCTAACAAGACAGAACTCACTCTTCTAATTGTGTACATTATTTCAGGCATACAGGCTGCTCAGAGCTTGTTCAGTCCAAGCTATGTTTAAACAAGGATTTGAACGAGCATAATGAATGATGCACACAGGGAGTGCAGCTTTTGTAATGCAAATACAAGACGGAGAGAATATAGATTTGTTAATGGAAAAGTTAATCAACATATATAGAGATATATTAGGTGGCTTTCTATTTTTCAGTTCTATTCTTTTTTCAGCAGCTTTGAAGAACTAACTTGTAAGAAAGTACCATAAATATAATTTGGGGACAGTAGGGTTTCACTAAAGAGGTTTGGTAGGTATACACATGCCTTAACTAATAGCATTACCCATTACACTTCTCCACTATTTACATATAAATAGGTCTTGCATGATTTAACTATTGGCCTATTAATTTGTTTGTTAATTTGTTTGTTTGTTTAAGACATATGTTGCTCTCGTATTTTCATATTTGCTTGTGGTTATTGAGATTCTTTCTCAATTAAACACTATTTATCGGCAAGTGGCACTTTTGCAAATGCTGCAGAAGACTGATTTTGTCTAATCTTTCAATCCTGGTATCGGAAAACCTGAATTTGGTTGATTACTTTAACGATTGTTAGTCATATGAGATATGAGTCAAGTAAACCACAGTTGATTGTTCCAAATCAAAATACCAGGGAATCTTTTGGGGGAGTTAAAACCTGTATATTGGCAGCCTGAATGATGTACACTGACAGGTTATTTGCATGCATTTTATGCTAATGTTAAAGAGAGCAAGATGCAATGCACATGTCTTTGATGTGTTACATTACCTTTATCTAAAACTGGCCCAAAAATGGCCAGATTGTCATTGACGGTGGTGCAGTTCCAGCGTCGGCCTCTGAACTGGTGCTGGCACTCCTGGATTCCAATCTTCACCCCCTCGGCCACACTGGGCATGATTTCCACGTAGTTTCGGCAGAAGCGCAGCTGCTTGGGCACCAAACCCGGGATACTGCCACAGAGGATGGGTTGAGTGCCCAGTGAAGAGTACTGGTGGCCCACTGCTAGTGACCTACAATGAGAGGGGAAATCACATTGTTATGATTGCATTGTCTCCGTCTATCTTTATCCATTGACTTAACAGAACCCAAGAGGAAGACTAATTTCCCTCTCCAGGTGCAGTGTAATTGAGCGTCTGAGTTTGATTGTGTTTGTTTGCTGTATCAGATGCTACCATTAGGCGTCCATCCTTTATCCCTTCAACTACCCTCTCTGCAGACACCTGGCCTTTGTGTGAATTGAAATTGCAGCCCTGCTGCCACAGAAGCAAGCAGCGTTTCTGTCTAAGATGAAAGTCCACAATGCATCTAGAGGTCTTCATAGACCTTAAGCTGACAACTTGGGAAACTACACCTTGTTATTAACTGTCCGCACACTTAACAGGGCTTCGGCTTAGGGTAATAAGAGTGCAAACCCTACATTGAAACTTCAGAGAGTGTATTAAGTGTAACACATAACCCAACCCCCCTCTTCCTTTGAGGAAGGTATTCTGGGATACAACAAGTGCAAACTTGGTTCACTGATTACATCTCTCCGTCTCGTTCCCTTGTGCTTTCTCTCTGTCTTTCTGTCTTTATTTTCTATGTCCTCTCAATTAGGACTTTTAGTGACTAGTAATCATAGAAATGGGATATCCATTGTATCATTGAATAGTATGTCATTTAGCTCATTTTTACAAAACATTTTGCTGTTCTGTGCTTGTACATGACCATCTGTTGGCTTTTCCACATCACAGAAAGCTTTATTGGCTCAAATTAAAGGTGAGTAATTGGTTTGACTTGCAAGCAAAGCCTTTTTAAAAAGAAACATTTAAATGTCAAGACATTATTGTAATTAGACGAACAAACACATTTTCTTTAAATCCATGACCCGCTGACCGGAGAGCTTGAGGTTCTTTTTAAATAAAATGTCAGTAAAATCAATATCCTGACAACTTGATTATTTAATAGCAGAGTGCCTATTATCCTTGGCAAGGGTAGCAACAAAGTAGCTTGTTGGCAATCGAGACAAGTCTACATTTCATTGCAACTGTCTATTAAACAGCGAACACTGGCAGCAGTATGCTGATCCTCCCTGAGTGATATGGGCTTGATAATAGTTACTGTAGCTGTTGCACAAAGGCAGAGCCAGGGCAGGTGTGCAGTCTCTTGCCGCTCAGTTAGCTCGCTCTCCGTTGACCCGTTCACTGTTGTTCAAGGACTAATCGCTGATCACAACAAGATTACTGAAACTCCTGACACTGGCCTAAGGCTGCTTTCTTTAAAGGCTCACAGTCCAAGAAAAGATCTCCTCAGCCAACTGACCCCTGGCTGACCACTTCAGACGGCAGAAAAACAGGATGACCTTGAAGACCTCCAATATATAGGGAAATGTGAAGGCTGGATGAATTTCATTTTCAATATGGCACGTTAATGCTTTCTGTGGTTAAGGTGTTTGTAAACCATTTGCTGAGAGTTAACCAGTTATTTCTCCCGGGCAAATATCAGAGTTGCCTGTCACACTGGTTTTCACAGAATATTTTGTCTAATTTCCACAGGCTAGACCGCTCTAGTTAATTATAAAAGAGTGGTTTAGTAAGCAAGCAAAGGAAAATGGGTCCATAGGAAGTCGTATTTGTCTGCAGTTTGTCTGCAACATACATCAGTAAACAAGCACTGGCCTCTCTTTGGCCCTCTCTTCAGTCCATACACCCTTAAGCGCATATTTCCCAGCATTAACCTGAGTCTACATCCCAAACTGGTATAGACTTTGGTTTGCCTAACACGCACAAATTCATAAGAGGATCATCATTGGGAGATGTTTACTGTGACTCAAGGCAGGTGAAACAAGCGCTGCAGGCCAGCATTTTTTACAAGTAGTACTCCTACTGTCAGTCTGGTATTGAACCTCCTCTGCTTCCTTTTCCTCCATGTGACGCCCCTGAGGTTTAGATGCCATTTCCATCAACTCCATCATTAACAAAGGCTTTTGCACAAGTGAATGAGCTCCAAATGAATCTCATCAGCAGAACATAGTGCAGAATAAAGGTCATGTGGGAGTTTCCTTTTGACCAGAGTCTGTAATGAGCCTTATTACTCATCAAGACTACACCTGTGAGGGTCTTTTTACATGATTTCGGCTAGGTCATCTACCTGTGTCACACAAACCCTCATGAGTCAATGGGCTTTGATTGCTCTACTCACGCAAGTCTGTCTCAGCGGGGCTGAGTAATCCATGCCACCTCTTCCTGTGTTAGGAAATGGCCTAAGAGAGGGGGCAGGGCATGTTCAACCGGGGGTGATTTATGTTTTTTTCAAAGGAGCTGTTTTAAAATGGTGAATACTAGCCCTGACAAATATTTCCACTTAAATGCTGGTTTTGGCATATATGAGTGCTTTGATACACTTTGTTCTAATTCATGAGAAAATCATTCTTCAAAGCAGCTGCCCTCCAAAGAATCAAACTGTTGGCATAAGTGGTCAAAAAAGAGGTTTATGATATCAAATAAACATTTTAGTTAAAATTGTTTTAAATAAATACTTAAGAAAAGAATATTCAATTTGTGTTATAGTATGGCTTTCCCCCTCTCATCTAAGTGTATCCAGCACAGGTTTAATGCATATTTCAGCAAGCCCAAGCAGGGTACCTTAGAATTACCACTTTACTCGTGGGCCCTGGGGCCTTGGAGCCGACTTTGACATCAAGAGAATATGTTTGGGAAAAGGAATGTGCGGCAAGCTTTCACCTCCAGGTATTTATCTTCTAAGGTGGGGTGGACTAGGGAAGGGGGCGGCGGGGTGGCGGGTGCAGCCAGGCTATGTCATGGCAGGTCGAGTAGAGACAGACATGAACCTGTCTTAGTACAAATCTAGATCTCCAGAGAATAGTGTGGCACAGAGGTTGAGTGTGATGCAGCTCCGATGGCCACTTGAAGCAAAGTTTAGCATAGCCTGTCAGCAAAACATCACAGGTTGCTTTCCACTCAAGGGAAAGCTCTTAGATAGCTGACACGCCGTTTGGAAACAGAGAGACAATGAAGCTGTACTGAGCGCAATCCAAAGGGAACCACGTTATTTGACTTGGGATGAGTTGCTATGTAACAAAAAACACATCAGTAGCCTCACAAGAAAAAATCAACAACTTTAGTATTACGTCAAGAATGTTCAACTCAAAGTGACTTAATGTGCTACTTCTGCTGTCAAAGATTGTTTGTACTGTTGATACAGCAAACGTACTCCTGTTGGGTTTATTTGCCGCTCTTTTGCTCCTGTAGTTACAGTCTTCGATAAAAGACCTGACCCACCCTCCAATATCAAATCATCAACATATAAGTGAGTTCTTGACTTGCTGCAGTTTTGCAATGACAGAATGGAAACCTGCCATCCATTGTGTCATTCAAAACTGGCTCCACAAAAAAAAAGCTCTTTTGGAGATGAAATATAAAGCCCCTCTTTTCTCTGTTGAGCAGTGTGCACAAGTGTGTCAATCAGCAGGCCTAAAACATGGCAACGCACACACTGGCATCAACAGAAAAAATTGCAAAAGATGCTTAACAGGTGATAAAACACAAAAAAGAATGTAGACAGCAAGCTGGAGGAGTACACAGTGTAACTGGATGCACTCACTTTTAAAACCAGGACTTTGGACTGGTTTGGGTTGGATTTTTTCCACCCACTGTTTTATCAGGATTTCCTTCCAGCTGTGCATGTAATTAGTTTCTCATCAGTATTACCACCAGGAGCCCCATTAAGGGAAGTAATACGGTAAACCCAACATCGCAGAAAAGCAGACTATTTAAAGATAGAAAATAAAATAGCTCTAGTAAGACATTTGTTATTAACGTGTAAAAGCTGATGAACATTGTAAGACCAAAAAAAGACAACTGAACTAAATAGTATAGTTTTTTCTTATATGAGGAATTAGGATGCTGCAACATTTATATTGCTCCAGTGCCTTTTCTGCAGAAACTCTGTTCTTCTGTGTGATTAAAAACTGAAATAAAATGAAAGGACATCAGATGCTGATTTCCGAAGACATTTGAAACAGAAGGAAACTGATGGGAAAATCATTAGCCCATACCCACAATGTCCATTACAGCAAAAGCTGCAATCACACTTAAAACTGTTGAATTCGTTTCTTCGACCTTTAGTTAAAAGTGCATAAGGTGTCCTAAGTCTGATAAGAAAACATACGGTATTGTATTTCAAATGCTATGCTGGTTATCCTCATGAAATTACTTTAAATATTATAAATCACTCAAAGAATACACCATTGTTGGGTAACATTTCATATTTGTTTGACCCCATACACAGACGAGTGGACGCGCACACACACACACACACACACACACACACACACACACACACACACACACACACACACACACACACACACACGCACACACACACACACACACGCACACACGCACGCACGCACGCACACACACACACACACACACACACACACACACACACACACACACACACACACACACAAACAAACACACACACTTGCATGCACACTAACGTTGCACCTGCTGCACTATGAATTAAAAAATTGATCTAAGTCAAATTGCATCGTTAATGTTGAAAATGTCATAGTGCATAGTATTAAAAAGTAAACATTGAATTAATGAAGAAACTTGTTCTTTCGTAAGTTGTTTTGGTTTCTACAGGTCTGTTCTCTGCTATTGTGTTCAAATAAAATCACGTTTTTCGCTCTTTTATTGCACTTTTTATCTTTAGCACCTAAACGCTTTTGTTAAACGTCTCTAAACTTTACTATTGGTGCACATAAATGTTCCGCTGCTGTCAGAAACGAAATAAAAACCATAACCACACTGACACAAAAGCGGATCATCAAATTATTATCAACATTTTAAAATAACATGTCACCATTCGTTCGTTCAGGGATATAATGAATACAAAACTTACCACCAGATGGGATAACTTGCCATGACATGCGTAAGCCCACAGAGCAACAGGAAACATCCAAGGTATATCATCCTTAAAGTTTCTCTAAAACTTCTCCAGCAGAAAGCCTACATGCGCGCTCCTACGCGCACTGCGATTTTAACTGAAGATTGGACAAAAATGAAAAACGAATCTGCACCGGTGGATTTTTATTTCTCTCCTCCAAAAAACACTGAGGGAGAATCTATCTTTCGCGACTACTCGTGGCAGAACTCGGGAGCCAAATATTAAAAGTTAAAAGCTGCTTGCGTTTTTAGGACCCAATCAGCAGGTATTGCCAAAGGGGGAATTCTGATGATATGTTTCCTCTGTTGCCTTGTCAGGCAGTTTGAACTCAGACAACAGAATGAGCTAATTTTAAGATGTGTTTTAGTGCTCATTGAGAATTCGTCGCATTAGCATGCAGTGTGTGTGATATATAATGTTGTTTAAAGGAGAGAGGGAGGGTCTGAGGGGTTTTAAATAGACATCGGAACCCCTGTGGATTGCGTAGCTATAACAACCTGTCCGGATTTCACTCCCTGGCTTGAAGCTTCTAAAATGCAGAAATAAATATGTGTGAATTGCTTGAGACCATTATTAAGGTCTGCAGTCCTTTATTTGTGCCTGCTTGCCATGAGTGTAAAATTAGAAGTTGAGGATTTTTTCCTAAGGACTGAATACACACTGAATTCACTAAAACTACAGCGCTACATGTAAATAGATTTCCCACCAGAAATCCTTAATGGTTTTGCCATCAATTGCATTTATTTAATGTGTGAAATAAAAACTCAAGTATTTCGCTCTCTGCCACTACATTGTAGGATCTATAAATTACACTGTAGAACTGTAGACTGTAAAAATGTTAAAACAGTGTTCTTAAAGTGGCATATTTTGAGCATGAATGCAACGAATTTTCCTCACATGGTAAAACTTCCTGCACTGTTATAAATGATGTTATCAGATATAAAAGTTTAAAGATAACTGTGCGATTAGCTGCCAGACTGTTTATTCCAACGAAATATTTGATAAAATTAGCTCACCACTGATTTCAAAAGGGAGACAGTCTGTTTCCCATTCTCAAAGTCAAGTGGCTGTTGATAGCTGATCTAATAGGAGGTGTCTCCATTTATAGGCACTGATGCTTTCTTGGAGATAAAAAAGCTGTCCTAGTTGAGCAACATCAGTGACTAATGGGCTGTGTTGAGGGGACAAATCAGTTGTTTCTCTTTCATGAAATATCTTCAATGTTATTTCACTTTTGTTGAGTCAACACGTGTTGTTGTTGTTTAGTTAACTATATACTCATAATATTAATAACAATATTATTAGAGATGATTTAATTATGTAAAGTTGTGGCAAATCCGTTTCTTTGCAAGACTTTTGTTGGCTTGGAGGGACATATTATTTACCCCAAATTGTTGCATTAAAACAGCATCATAAGCATTTCATTTGTGCAGTTAATTTAAATGCGTTTACTAATTAAAATGCAGTGTTTCTTTAAAATCTTTTTTATATTCTTATCATTGAAGACATTCAGCAGAACCATTTGCATCGATTCGTTTAGTAATAACTGTCAGCTTGCTTAATCAGCCCCATGGTGGGCTGTGTATTTGTATAATTTATGAGGCCAACTTCCTCTTGTGAATATTAAATCAGGAACGAAATACATATTACATTTTGAAATGCATGTAATATATTTCTTTATTTTGCTCGGATTCAACTTTGGGGTATAGGCTTTTGAGATTACCTGAGCAGTTCGAGCTGGAAATAGTTGTTAATAAAACATGTATTCAGTCAAACCTGCAATTGTTCTCTAATGTTAAAAGTGTCCACATGCTAAACTTTGATGACTGGCATGGATACACACGTGATACGCTTAACCCTAAAGATGTTAGCGCCATCTGGTGGCAATTATTGTGCACTGCAACAGTGGCAAAGGCAACATACTTTCAGACAGACTTTCACAGCCAAATGGTAGAAAGTAACACTTGAAAACATGTATTCAAGTTTTGTACTTGTATGCTACTTTGAGTTATTTGTTCTTTGGTTGAGTATTTCAATTTGTTGTTAAAAGTTCAGTAAATATCATAGGGTACATTTTACTTTAATGCATACCTTAAGTGACAAGTTACTTTGTATATTTTACATATATATAACCTATGATGACTTTAAAATATATGATGAATTGTTGCAAATAATCTAAATTACTACAAATTAGGCTTCCCAGATCAGCCACAATATCATAAGGCTGCTTAAGGTGTATGCATTATTAATTATAAAACTCTTAAAGGATAGTAGTTTTGCTTTTTATACTCTAAGTAGTAGTTGATACCACTTTAACTTAAGTGCAATTTAAAATCCAAGACTTTACTTACAATGTATATTAATATTGTAGTAACACTTCTGTCACCAGAACTTACATCCACTACGATATCATCATGAATGTCTTTTAATGAATATTACTTGGGTAAGGATATTTTTCACCATAAAAGAAATCAACTTTCCAGTGATTCAAATGAGTTTCAATTAAGTTATTTTTATAGTAAAGTTAAGTGCAATAACAGTGAGTTAATTAGTCTTACATCAACTGCTAATTTTACTACACCGGAAAATGCTTGTGTTTTATCTATTTTTATCTCTTTAATGTTGTTTTTTTCAGATTTTGTCATTAAATGACTGAACTTCCTTATGCAAAGTTAATCACTGTGGAGCTGCTCAGAGGAGCCCGAGGGTTTGGGCAGCTGTTTGGGAGAAATCTGGAAGTTATAGAGCAGCTATGAACTTTTCCATTTTTTTCCTCCCAGTAGCTGTCAGCACTGGCAAAGAGGCCCAGGCAGCGAGGGTGTTAAATGCATGTGAAAAATGTGATGCCTGTTCAGCTTATGGCTACTGACTGTAGATCATGAAGGTCAACAAGAGATTTAATAAGTGCTAACACGTGTGTAAAGCATGTTCAACTTCTAAATACCATAAAAATCATTCAAGTCATACTTTTATATAAAGTGGTGACAAAGTGAATACGTTTTTCCAAAATGGTTTTGTTGGTTTTATCTCCATCAACACTTTTCACACCACGCTGTCTCTGCAGTCCATCCATTCAGTTCTCCCCACCGAGCAAACAGGAGGACATCATGGCACCTCTGTGTGCCCACGATGACCTCACTGTAAAAATGATGTAATCTAGCAAAAGGCCTGTTAGCAAGGATTCATGTCCGACATGTGAGTCTTGTCATTGCTCTGCTTCACAGTGACGCTGCCTCTCTTTGACAGAACACAGCTTCACTAACATCATGCATTACACAAATATTGATCTAATCACATTTTCATTACTTCACTTGCTTTCCATGAATATTTTTCCTTAATATGCCATGAAGCTGTTAATTTTCATTGGTGCATTCAAGGGTCGTAATAGGATGCAACATACTGAACATAACAACTTAAGATCTTTGTTGTGTACAAAAGAAATGGCACCACTAGATGTCAGCATTGTAATGGAATTATTATTGTCCCTCTGAACTTTATAATGGAAAAAAACATTATATATATTCACAACTCTTAAAGGCAAAAGCAAGTCTATTTATATGGCACCTGTCAAGTTAAAAACCAATACAAATGAAATACATAATAATAGAATTACAAAAATACAAACACAATCATCTCGTATTAAGGCAGACTTTTGAGGTTCTGTTCTCGAATATATGGGACCTGCAGAAAAGTCAGTTTTACAGTTGTTGATGCTTTGTAGTTAAAGCAAAGATGAAAAAAACAGGTGAGTGAATATGTCTCAGAATGTACTATCCAATCCAATCTACTTTGTTGTTTGGTTAATGCAGTTTAATTCTGTGGATCTTAAAAAATGGAGATGTTCAGAAGAGAAATATGACAAAAAGCAGACTACCAGGTCTCTGTTTGAGTTACAACCCTTCAAACGGAAAAGGGAGGAGAGCTGGGCCTCAATAAGTTGTGACACACCCCACGAGCTCACACCTGGAAACAACTTATCACTTTCCCTCGTAATCCTCTGTTAGTCTCCAGACATGGGAACAAAGCAAAGGGTCTGCCTCTGCTTCGACTTTATCTGCAGGATGGGCATTACCACAGGCGTTGACGTCCTCTCCCTTGCTCGCACCTCTTGGTATTACAGGGTGTAAAAAGGTTTCTGATAAGACAAATCATGGGACACAACTTCTAAATCTGAATGTAAACGGTCTTTGTTGTCACTGAGGTTGGATTAGTAGCTTTTGGGCACACCTACATACGTCATTTTGCCCTATATGTTTCTTTAACAGTCACTACATCTCATCCCAGTTGAGATTTTAGACGGACGTGTTGGATAACACTCTTCTTCACCATCAGAAAAACACAAGATAATTCATACTTATAGATATAGAGAGCTACACTCACATAGTTTGGATTTAACAAATGTTCAAAGTGCTTTGCAAAAAAAAGATTAATGATGATGAAAATTAGCTTAATTTCGATACCAAATGCAGATTCTCCAGCGTTTAATTGAAATAAACAGAACCAAAAAAAAGAAGAAGTAGGAATTGAAAAATATATGCATGAAAACAGATATGATGCTTTTAATGTATTTGACATACAGATACACTATGTAGAAAGATAATGATAAAGGTCCGAGCATTGATCCTTGTGGTACTCCATGAGTGTAGTTGGGGATTTAAAGTTCTTATAGGTCAGGTTTGGTTTATATCCTTTAATTTAAAGTAGTCACAAACAATAGCTGAGGCCAAGAGAAGCAAATAGATGCACCTAAAGGTCTAAAATATGTCGACACATGTAACCCGTTAAGTCTCATTTTGTCTGTAACTGAAGTCTTCAACTGTTGTGGGAGCCTTCGGTCAAAAGGTCTTTCCTCAGAGGGGACTAGAATAGTTGTGTTAGAGCTGAGGTCACAAATCAATCAAGCAAGAGGGATGAAGCTTTCATAGGCCAGAAAACAAGAAGAGACAGCACAGCTTTCATTACAGAAACAGCCCTGCATCGGGATGCAGTGTTTTCTATCAACTGTTGAAAGAGAGAAAGAGTGAGAGTGTAAGGCCTTGAATCTCCACCTTTTTTCAGTCTCTTCTTCTCTGCTCTTTCTCCACAATGACACTTTCCTCAGGGTCAGCCGAGGTCGCAATCAGCTGAGAGGGAGGCTGTACAGACTGCAGCTGCTCTGCTGGACTCTGTCTTGTTTCATTAATGCTAAATAAAGCAGATCATAACGTTCCATCAACACCACCTGCTGGTCAAGAGCACGACCCATTCACTGTACGTCTACCATATCGTCTGTCTTCGTACAGCCACCTGTACTTTCCTGGCTCCAACTCTTAACATGTCACTAC